GATAATCAGCATGGTTATTATCAAAATTTCTTCTTTTTTTCTTTTCTTTTTCGCAACAAAGATGTATTTCTCCTGCGATCTACGCCTGCGCTTCCTGTGAGAAGCACATGGCAACACTGAGAATAGGCAATGACGGGGTGTGGGGGAAACGCACGTTTTGCAGTGGCGTGACGGTTATCAGCAGCAAAAACCGAATCGGTGAACTGGTTTCGGATTCCACACGAGCCTGTTTATATTCGTTTCACACTAATGATCCTTGAAAAGGCATGAACCTCTTTATCTCTGAATTTTGTCCTACATGTCCATTGTCAACCTTGGGACCAGTTATTATATCAGAATGAATGCGACTGGCACTGAAGAAAGGTGAGTAGGTTAAAGAAAGAGGAAAAAAGAAACTAAGAAAAAGGATGAATGATATAATTTTTTTTGAAAAATATTTTTAAAAAGTGATGCAAAATAAGTGTGAGATAAAAGGAGAAACGAAAGAAAGAGACGAAGAAAGTAAGCGATAAGAAACAAAAAGATGTAAAGAAAATTTAAGAGCGAAAAGAAAGAAAGAAAGGAAGAAGAACGAAGAAAAAAAGGAAAGAAAGAAAAACGATCGAAAGAAAGGGAAGGAGATAAAAAGAAAGAAAAACTAACGAACAAAAAAAGAATGGAAATAAGAAAGAAAACGAACGAACGAAAGGAAGGAAAAAGAAAAAACAAACGAACGAAAGGAAGGAAGACAGAAAGAAAGAAAAACGAACGAACGAAAGTAAGTAAGTAAGGAAGGAGAACGAAGGAAAGAAAAAACGAACGAACGAAAAAAAAACAATGGAAAGAAGAAAGAAAAACGAAGGAAAGAAAAAAAACAATGGAAAGAAGAAAGAAAAACGAACAAACGAAAGGAACAAGAAAGAACGAATGAAAAGAAGGAAGGAAAAAGAAAGAAAAACGAGGGAACGAAAGGAAAAAATAAAGAAAGAAAGAAAAACGAAGGAACGAAAGAAATGAAGAAAAAAGGAAAACGAACGAACGAAAGGAAGAAAGAAAAACGAACGAACGAAAAGAAAGAAAGAAAAAAAAGAAAAACGAACGAAAGAAAGAAAAGAAAAAGAAAGAAAAGAAAAAAAGAAAAGAAAAAAACGAACGAAAAAAGAAAGAAAAAAAGAAAAAAAAAACGAACGAAGAAGAAAGAAAGAAAGAAAGAAAAAAAAAAAACGAACGAAAAGAAGAAAAAAAAAAAAGAAAAAAAAACAAAAGAAAGAAAAAAGAAAGAAAAGAAAGAACGAAAAGAAAGAAAAGAAAGACGAAAAGACGAAAAAAAAAAAAAAAAAGACGAACGAACGAACGAAAAAAGAAAAGAAAGAAAGAAAAGAAAACGAACGAAAAAACGAACGAAAAAAGAAAGAAAAAAAACGAACGAAAAAAAAGAAAGAAAGAAAGAAAGAAAGAAAAAGAAAAACGAACGAAAAGAAGAAAGAAAGAAAGAAAGAAAGAAAAACGAACGAAAAGAAAGAAAGAAAAAGAAAAACGAACGAAAAGAAGAAAGAAAGAAAGAAAGAAAACGAACGAACGAACGAAAAGAAAGAAAGAAAGAAAGAAAAAGAAAAACGAACGAAAAGAAGAAAGAAAGAAAGAAAAACGAACGAACGAACGAAAAGAAAGAAAGAAAGAAAAAGAAAAACGAACGAAAAGAAGAAAGAAAGAAAGAAAGAAAAACGAACGAGCGGAAGGAAGAATGAAATAGGAAAGAACGAAGGGAAAAATTAATACGACCAAACGATCCAAAGGGAGAAAGAAATACAAACTTTTTACAATGCAAGAAATTTGTTTCTCCAGACAGATGCCAAGAATACAATAGACTAAACATGTGAACAACGAGGGATGTTCTAAATAAAATCGGAACAAGTATGACACTCCTACTTAAAATCAGAAAGAATCTGTTGAAATTTTTCTAGAATCTATTACGAGGAAGGGCGGGTTGGAAAATTCAATACTCACAGGCCGTAGCGAGTGAAGGGGGAAACAAAGAAACTTACTTAGCATGTTTGGTTGAATGGATGACAGAGATGGGACAAGGAGGGATGCTAAAATGTCAAAGGTTGCTTTAAGCAACAAGGGACAGCAAGTTATGAAGAGCCATAATCGTTAATGCCCTGGCACAGCTCATGATGATAAAGAAGATTTGAAAATCATTTTTTAAATGTCATGTCCTGGAGGAACATGGGTGATCATGGCTCTCCGTGGATTTTTTCTTTATTATCTACGAATTTCCATGACTTCTTGGAAAAGATTTGGTTTGGTTTGGTTTATGGCATATCAACCTCAATGGGTTATTTAATGCCGATAAGATTTCATTGCTGGTAATATTTTTTTTCCATAAATCTATTGCTGCTAATAATTTTTTACTTCAAAATATCTATTGCTGGTATTAAAACCTATTTTTACACTTTCATAGTGTTTCGATCCCAGTTTCGGGGTAACTATTTGCCCATAGCTGGGACCCTAAATGGTGCTACCACCCCGGGTCAGTGTGGACCTGGGAACACCAGCAATTAAGAGGTGGTTCCACGCTCCTCAAAGCCTCATGATTAGAGGTCTTGCTGTCGGATATAGTTTATCGTCTTACCCAGGACGTGGATGTAGTTTATCGTCTTACTCAGGACGTCTTGGAAAAAGAGAATGAAGTGGTTATAATATATATATATATATATATATATATATATATATATATATATATATATATATATATAGTATGTTTTAGAAAATATAAGATAGGAGAAAAGAAATTGAAATGTAACTGGCGTCTTTAAGAATATTTATTTAAAGTAACTTTACCAGTTCCACAGTTCTATGATTTTCAAAAATTAAACTGAGATAGAGAGACGTGTGGCTATGCCATGATATGTCTCGCACATATATTTTTTCCTTTAAACATAATGTTTAGTGGATAATAACATTTGCGTAGACGTACCGTTTATTTTAAACAGTATTTCATTTCATGTGTCGGTCTGAACATTTGAGAAATCTTATTAAAGTAAATGGGCCCTCCGGTCGGATTTGAACCCGTGCCACCCCTTCTAGGAGAAATCACCTTTAGATCCGACGTGCTTTGACCCCTCGGCTAGGAAAAGCTTCATAACGAAGCAATGGTTCTATTTGCTTTTTAAAGCACATTTTACTCGTTCACATTTCTTCGAATGTCATAACTGCTCAGCATTGTATTCGAGGCGTAAACAGCAATTTTTAAAGAATTAATGGATTTATTTATTAATCCGACATATTTTTATTACTTTAGACGCCATTAGTAGTTGATTTAGACGGTTTCTCCTGAAAAGGAGGACATAGGTTAGAATCCTGCCGGAGGGCGCATCTTCTTTAGTAAGACTTCTCGAATGTTCTGATCGGTAAACGAGATAAAATGCTGTTTAGAATAAATGGGATGTCTACTCAAATGGGAGTATCCACTAAAAATGACATTTAACAATATGACGGATTAATAAATAAATCCATTCATTCTATATATAAATATATTAATCATATATATATATATATATATATATATATATATATATATATATATATATATATATATATAATGTGTGTGTGTGTGTGTGTGTGTGTGTGTACAATGGTTATCAGATTGGGCTAAATTTTGAATCTACTTCTTAAAGTAATGTGGACTAACGTGGACTACCAATGAGAAGAGAGTCTGTTTAGTGGCTCTGGCTTTTCAAATATCACTCAATTCGCCATTTATATTCCAACTTGACAATCATCGTGTGAGTACAGGGTGCGATGGGTAAATTGTCACCATTTTATATTTTTGATTTCGCGCATGCGCATTCTTTGTTTGTGATTTTGTTGATGCGTAGTATAGTAGGGTCAGTTGGGCACCATCTGTGAGAAAAGGAGCACCATGACGCAATTCACTCCGCCAGAAATTTGGAAACGGCATGCTGTCCTGTTTGGCATTCTCGCCGAAAGCTCCAATACGAACATTTTGGGTGGCAATCTGATGACAGTTCGATAGATTCGGAAAGAGTTGGGTGAATCTAATAGTGATTACGACGGTGTTTGGAGTGATCATTAGTAATGGCGACGTTATGCCTCCATTCATCTTCACACAAGGCCTCAGACTCAATACGGAGGCCTACGTCAAGTGTCTTGAGGAGGTAGTGCTGCCCTAGAAGATCCTACGCATGGCAACAGGACTCTGCACCATGCCACACAACCAGGAGAACCCATTCATTACTGTCAGACAATTTCTGAGACCTTATCATTCCTTACATCTGGCCACCACACTGAAACCCTCTTGATTATTATGCGTGGGGCGCAGTTGAGCAAGAGACCAACTAAACTCCTTGTAACAACAATGATGAACTGAAGACAAGGATTCACTAACTTAAACAAGGAGACTGTCTAGAAGAGTTGCAGGAGATTCCGAAGTCGTCTGGAGGCTGTGGTTGAAGTCAATGGCAGATATATTTACCAAAAGTACACAAAAAATATCTTGAAAAACTAAAGATTAAATTTATTCAATAAAAACGCCATCTCACGTCTATTGCTCCTGGCGGGCATGGTAGTAATAGTAACAGTGTTAAAATTATAAGGATAATTTTGCAAGTTCTGGAAAATATAAAAATAAATATTTATCACATCTGAACATATATGTGTGTTTAAATGTAATTTTCTGCGATCCTTTAGGATAGGTACTTCTACAGATTCATGATACCTAAAGCTTAAATGAATTTTAAAAAATGAAAGTTCTTTCTTGAAGTTTTAATTTTAGTTTTAATTTCAATCTAGTAGATTGAATTTAATAGTTCCAAAGTACTTTGAGCTATTTCAAAATTAACTTAAATTGACTGGAAGGAGCTTTCGTTTTGAAACCAAAACAATCACTGATTTTAGTGCAAGTTTTATCCATCTGTCATTGCAATGTAATTATTTTTATTAAAAAATCTTTAAAAAATAAAATGTACTTTTCTGAAGTTTTATTTAAAGAATATTAGCTGATTCAAAGTTTAATTAATTTCATTTGAAACAAATATTACTTTTAGCTTAAAATGTCGCAGAAATGTATTTAACACTGTGGTAGCTGTTTAAGTGTTGGGAGGTTGACAGCTTGAGTGACGAAATTTTCTTTCTCAAGTCAGTAGTGTCCATAATATATATTTCATAAAAGCAATTAAAAGCTTCTATAATTAAATAACATTTAAGCTTTATTGTCTTTTTTATTTTACGATTCGGAAGAGATTTTCAATAATTGGCGTTCCTATTTTACAAAAAAAAAATGAGGATTTAAATTCTCTAAGGAGTTCTGATTTTAACTGATATAAACATTAAGTGGCAAAAAATTTAATTTCTCGAAATTTCATAAAATTAAATAAGTGGTAGGTAACAGATGTAAAAAAAAATATTTTTTACCATGATTTTCTAAAAAAGACATTTCGAAAATAATTTAACTTAATTTGAATAAATCATTAAAATCCGTCGGTTATTTGATTTTTGCAAGAATTTCAAAATTAATGTGTTTTTCACTGCAAAAAAGACGCTAAAATTTCCTATAGTAATCTCTTTGGCCAGCCTGCTGACGAAAAAAAAAAAAAAAAAGAAAAGTTTAACCAAAATTTGGAACGTTCTAAAAAGGATAAAAGAAAAATATAATATAATAATTAAAAAGCCAGCTGGTCTTTCCTCTTAATGATAAAGATTTTGACGATAAAAATTTAAGTTTGGCTCATTTTTTTTTCTTCATGGTATGCTAAGTTTTAGCAAATTAATGGTGGTACCTTTTTTAGGGTTAAGGCAGTTACACGCGTTTCTTTCTTTTAGATACTGCTTGTCAATGAGGCAACAGGGTAAATATCTACCGCTTACGACTAAGTCTGAAATTCTTCTCTAAAATGCCATGTATCCCTTTATCATTTCTTTGAGTTTGTTCCAAATTGTTGTTTCTGTTTGAAAAGTGTTTTCCTTGTTTAGAGGTTTTCTTCGAAATGTACTTTGTTCATTTCTCCTTTGAGAGTTATATGTGTTATTTGTTTCTAGTTTTTCACGGTGTTAATTCAGCGTATATTCGTCAATAAAGACATCAGCATGAAGCGTGGGTCTTTTTCATTGAGATCAGCCTGTTGTTATACTGTCATTGAACAAAAACCTGTTGCCTTCAGAGTGATTTTACCTTAAGCAGAATTTATTTTTCTTTTATTACATTGATCCAAGGCAGAATTGCCGGGAAGAGAGAGAGTTTGATTCTACACAGAATGCATTGATATTTTGATTCTAGACAAGTGTGTTGCCGTGCCTCTAACGTTTTCTACACAAACCGGATGCTGACCGCTCGACGACCGAATGTAGAATGCGTAAATACGTTTTTTGTGCATAGGCTCCACGCATGCATCCGCTTTAACCAAAATAAAATGAACAATATATTATGACCAGTCAGAGCCACTCCCCGCTCAAAAACTTAAAATCTCAATTTCTAGCCGATTGATGGCTATATATTCTCAAATTCAAACAGAACCAAAACAGACCAGCTTTTGATGTCAACACCAGCACGCTGAGAGAGAGATGCGACACAAACCAGCGTTTGATGTCAGCACCGACGCGTTGAGAGAGAAACCCCAGCAACAACGACAGCCATCACCGATGTCAATTTATTTCTAATTTCACCATTTTCTCTCCCCGTGGTCTTAGCAACAGATAGAATTTACCAGTTTTGTATATACACTCCTGATCGAAAATTTAAGACCACTTGAAATTTTTTTATAAGAGACTGTTTGTCATGGATACATTATAAACTTTTTCTTACTTAAAGTTACTAAATGTATGATCTAAAAGGTTATGTAGACAAAAGTTATAATCCGATCAATTTATTCAGAAATGGACATTTTTATAAAATGAGGCGTTTTACACTTGATCAAAATTATAAGATCAGGGGGTATAAATTGTTAGATCTAGGGTAATTCCAATGTTTTTAGTTCAGTTAGAGATTAACAATCACTCCGTAAAGGTGTCACAAGCAAACTTACTGAAGTTGAGCGTGCTCGAATTCTAGATTTCCATAATCAAGGTTTGTCACAGCGGGCGATCGCAGCTAAGGTAAATCGCAGTAAAACTTTTTGTTTACAAAGAGTAAAGGACAGTGCGAATTATGGAAACGCAAAGTCTACTGGTAGGCCCCAAAACATTTCCCCGGCATTGAGTAGGAGAATAAGACGGGTTGTTGTGAAAGTCAGTGAACTTTCTTCTAGTCAAATTAAGGCAGCCACAGATGCTGATTGCAGTCCAGTAACAATCAGACGACACTTAAAGGCATGGTAAATAAAAAGCAAACAAATTTCATCGGCTGCTTCCACGTCACAAAGTGAACCGTTTAAGGTTTGGTCGTGAATACCAAACGTGGGACATTGAGAATTGGAAGAAAGTCCTGTTTTCTGATGAAAGTACTACTCAAGCCCGAACTATCGAAGCCCTTGCAACCTGGAGGAGAACTTGCAAAGAGAGCATCGAAGTCTTTGAGTACAGGCGTATCAGTCTCCTCACTGAGAAATGTGCCAAGAGGAAGACCAACAATAGCACTCAGAACCCATTTCATCAATGCAGTATCTGCAATAGGGCTTGGGGTTCTAGAATTGGACTCTATTCTCATTCTCCTTTACGAATAGTAAATATGCGAACAGCACAATACTTTCTAAACATATATGGGAAATTAAAACCAAAAAAATAATTACACAAAGGAAAACATGGAAAATAAAGAAAACAGCACCAACCTGTGACAACAATTGCAAAAACTGTAAGCTCTGTCTGGCCGAAAAATAGCTATAATCACCTTCCCGGATGAACATAAACTGCTAAATAAACGATCAAACCTTATCTCAAAATGTATGAAAACAAATGTTTACTACGTTACTTAAAAATCGAAAACCAAAAACGAATACCTTGTAAAATACAACCATGAACAATGCAAATATATGCACTACGCACAACGCAGATAATACAACATACTTTAGACAAAGTCAATATTTAATACTAAACAAATAAAAGAATCAACCCGAAGAAAAATTAATAAATAAATAAGTAAAATTAAATAAAAAATCTAAATAAATAAGTAAACAGATTAGGTAAATAATAAACAAATTAACTAGAAATAAACACATAAACCAGTAAATATAATAATAATAATAATAATGTAATCACTAATAAAAAATGAGTAAACAGTTAATAAAGGACACTATAAAATAGTTACATTCGGATCAACAATTATTTCTTTTCAATAGCCTGTAGAATAAGTCGAAACAATTGCTAGGATATTGCAATAGACTTTTTTCCCATAATGCACTACTAGCCAGCATATATAAATAGTCGAACCAAAACAATTTGTCGCCGCTAGGTGTTGACCTCAGTGTCCACTTTTATATTTACATACACACTATCCCTAATATTGAACACTTTAAACCCGTACATATAGCATGCCTTAAAACTACATTTTATCATAATGTCAAATTAAAAATAAATCAATTAATTCTTAAAATTTATATATATATATATATATATATATATATATATATATATATTGTTGTAACCTAGAAAGGGTTACTGAATGAGAAATAACAAAAACGGAGGTTGAAAATGAAATGGTAATGTTTATAACACCAAACAAAATACAATACTCACCAACAGCGTGAAGTAGGTAAACCATTGCTAGTGGTGGACTACTTAGACAACATATTACCCCCACTTACAATAGTGTCCAACGTATTTATGAGGATTGGGACATACCGATTAGTGTTCATAGGTAATATATATATATATATATATATATATATATATACACGCAAAATGTTTGTGTGCGAAGAATGCTAAAATAGATTAGAGTAATTATTATTACTTATTTACTGCTGACTTTGATCTGTCTTAATGAAACACACTTATATAGAATCCTTCTTAATGAAACACCCTTTATATACCAAGAGCTATCAAAAAGTCAATCATCTCGATTTAATAGACGTTTATTTTAAACACTTTTTTTTAAAAAAAATAATCTCCTTCTTTGTCAATACCCTTAATTCAATGGTCGGTATTAATTGCATTGATTGAATATTATACAATGAAACTTTCAAATGAAAATTTAACTCAAATCTGTCAGATTACGAACTTATTGATTTATTCTCGTATGTGACTATCTATTCTCTTCTACTCTTTTTGAACTTGAGGATTGGAATAGAATCAGAACCGCACCACACCAGGTGGTGCTGCCTTGGTTTGAGTAGCAAGTAGGTTTTATAGGGCGTGTATGCTAGCTTCACACCAAGTTGAAATTCTACTAAACTGACCACCAGCCAAGACTACAGAGCTCGGTCAACTGTTATTTAACCCATAGCTGGAGGGATAAGAGGTAGATTTATATCTTTTCCAGAGGCATTTGTGTGAAAGTAAACCCGGATCAACGATCCCACTTTCCACGCCATTAACCGCAATTCTATGTACAGACTCGTGTGTCTATTCGTTTGTAATTAGTTTTATAGGTTGTATTTTCTATGTGCTTCATTAAATTCTTTCTTTCTTTCCTAGACTTTTCTTGATACTACTTTGAGTGCAAACTATCGATTGCTCGTCCTCGTGTCTTGTAAGATTAGTAAAGCAGTCAATTATGCATATTACTTCGAATATATTTTGCAGGCACAAAGACAATTATCCCTCTCTTGTGTTCGGCAGCCATTGTGCATATGCATTCCATCATCTTTTGATATTGTTATTTGTAAAAAAAAAAAACGTATCTATTCTACAAGTGTCTTACGTTCAATAAAGCTTTTTCATTGGTTAAAATGTTTTACTATTGCGTTCAACATCACAGACTATCGCAGAGACAAAGAACGAAACCTTTTATTTATATAGCTGCTTGTACTTACCAAAGAAACTTTGTTATTTGTAACGCTATCTTCTCTTCCCCTCCAACCAAAAATGATTGATTCAGCAGTTACTTTATAACGAAAGAACCCAGTAATAAGTCGAACCTCTGTCTACCATTATTTAGACACATTCTTCGGGTTCATTGACCATTGGCGTCAATAACATTCTGGATAATCATTCTCCAATAGGATTTGCCAAGTTTTTGGAATCTGTATTTGTCTATATTTCTAAGATGAGGTATTATGTACACTATTTACATTTGTCGGACTATTGTCCTTATCTTTGTCGTCATGTTTATCACAACGTCTCGGCCGTTGTACGCTCCGGCCTTCTTCAGGTGGTTGGAATGTCAAACTGAACCCTTTATTTCGCTCGCTGGGGCAGACTGTTCTAGTTCCACGTGCCATGTCTAGTAGATGTCAGTTATCTCCTGTTAATTCTCCTCTGAAAGTTATCCACCGCCTCAAGCAGGTATTGAACTCACACTATCATGGAACCAATCATGTTTTATTTTACAGACATAGAAACAGCACTCAATGTCTAACAATCTTCGGTTGTTTGCTTGTTTTTGTTTAGCGGCATATCAACACCTCTATGGGTTATTTAATGCCGAAATCTAAATATTTTTATGCATTTTTTTTAGATAATAAATACTTTAGTGATACAAGTTTTACTAATTAACTTCCAGCTGGGGGAGGAAGAGAATAGATGGATTCATACCATTCCCCAAGGGTATTAGCGAGTGAGTGAATAAAACGAACCCAACCGGAATTGGAACTCGGCTCTCTGATTAACAATCCCGAGTCATTATCCATTACACTACATGCATATCAAAACATACAGCACCTGGTATTCCCAAGCGGTCACCCATTTAAATACTAACCAGTCTCGTACGAGAGCCGGTGTTTCAACGTGATCTGGCCGTGCGTGAAAACAGGCATTTCAAATTTATATACATCGGGGACTCTCCCGTCGATGATCGACGTATGAGGGTCAGGCCATTCAGTTCCCAGGAACCGACAGCCAGACAACCCCAAACGGCCTTCCACAGGTTTTGAATTCAGAGTTATCCTTCTCCTAGTTGCCGTCCAAGACTATAGAAGCAAGATCAACTATCAAGTACGATGTTAATTCACTTCTCTTTATCATTATCTAGTCGCAAGCCCGTCGTATCCTGCTATTTACCCATAGAAGATTCAAGTGAATGTAACAGATTCGACTGTAACTGGAATTCGAACTCGGCTCCACTGTGCGCATATATATATATATATATATATATATATATATATATATATGGACAAAGTCCGACAATTATTTTAAGACATTTTTTTATGTTTATACGTTCTTTTTATAGATAAAACATAAAAAAAATATGTCTTAAATAATTGTCGAACTTTGTCCATTTCATAATGTGTGACGTCATTTGTTTACATCGAACAGATATGAATGTACGAGAGAAAATCATTGAGAATTGTAGTTTAAAAACAGTAAAACCGACCCTGCTAACCGAAACGGTCCTCTGTAGCTAAATCGGTAAGGCACTTCAGGCTATATGACGGTTCAGTATAGGATACAGGTTCGATTCCTGTCGGAGGAAGCATATTGTCTATGAAAATTTCTCGGACATTCAGGCCGGTAAATATCGTTAATACTGTTTATTATAAACAGAGCATTTACTTAAATATTTGTATCTATAAAAAGAAAGTATAAACATAAAAAATATGTCTTAAAATAATATGTGGATGGTCCTGCACGAAACCTTCACCACTATAATCAAATCTCATGTGCTGTTGTTGGGCTGTCGGTTTCCTAGGAACTGATCTAGTTTGACCTTCGTACGTCGAGTTCGAAGGGAGAGTCGATATATATATATATATATATATATATATATATATATATATATATATATATATATTGAAAAAATATTTTATCTACATATTTATAGAATTTGAATGAGTCAATAGTTTGTTCATCCAATAAACTTTTTTCTACTATATAACGCCCAAGAACCACACAAGTTATGGGGTAACTGTATGTAATACGAATATAAGAGTAACAATTTGGAAGTGAAGGACATGAGAATATGAAGAATAGGCAGCGACTGTCTTTTGACTTGAAGAGATTTGGAATACGGAGTGAGTGATTCGACCCCATGATGGATTTTAGCTGTAAAGGTATGAAGTGATGGAACTAAAGAATGTAGCTAATCTGAACATTTGCCATGGAAATAACGATAGAGTAACGACAGGCTTGCGAGTAGATAATGAAAAAGAGAAGTGAATTAACATCATACTTGGTAGTTGATTCGGTCATACCTTGTATCAGTTAAGGTCATGAACAGCGTGAGGTGTTTCTAGAGATTGGCACAATCAAATGAGATAACTTATTTTTCGCGTCACAAGAAGCTTTGATTAATACTTTTTCTACGGCTTATCAACCCTTTGCTGGTTATTTAAAGCCAGAAAATTCGAGGGGTGATAATGATTTATTGATACAAGTCATACTAATTAACCCATAGCTGAGAGGAGAAGAGGTGGATTCATATCTAAACAGAATTTGATAAACAAGAAATTATTATGTGAATATAAAATGTGGGA